AACGAGAGAATATCGTTTAGTTCGAGATTTTAACTTTATTATACTTTACGAAGTTTCTCAGAGCGTTTTACTGAGGTGTTAGCTCGATCAGATACATTCGTAAACAAATTCTCCAACCTTCTGCTCTTGTTGCTCAGAAGTTCTTGAGTTCGTGCTGGAATTCTACTTGGTTCACGATCACGTCTAAAAATACGATGACACTTCTGAAGACGCTTTTTATCAAGTTGAAGAGTTGATGGCCCCGGTTGATGGCTCCTTTGGTTTAACATGATTCTTGATAAATTCACTCAAAATGTTCGCTCGTAAATTGATCTGTCGTAAGGCTTGCAGACCGACCCGTTCCGAAAACGCTTGACGTCCCTAGTGTTGGTCTACCTCGAACGGTGTGTTCGTTTGTATTTGATTTCATCGCCCTAGAAATCATGGAATCCGTGCTAACTTTCCACGACGACAACTTCTGTAAATTCCATGTGCTGTACGCATGCACAAGTGACGAATGCGTTCTAGAGACCAGACGGCGATTTGTGACTGAACGAGGAAAAAAAAAAAACAAAAAACGGAGCCGAAATTTAAACCCAGGCCTTACTGCCTGGGTAATTAGTGTAAATCTACTAGCGTTCTATCACGAATGCCGTTCTCTGATTGACAACGCTGTTCACTGTCTATTCTGCTGTAGGTAGTTAGTAGCGTAGCAGTGTGCGGTTGTGAACAAAATGATGACCGCTTCTCTACACTTTTGAGGCGTCTGTGAAGAAGTTTTAGATAAAGTTTTGAATGACAAGTAGATTTATACTAAAACAATTAGATTATTTTCTCTCGATTTCTATATGTGATTTCTATTCTGCTGTAGATAGTGAGTAGCGTAGCAGAGGGTCTGAATGGGGTTTAGGCCCAGTTCATACGTCGCATTTCTGTCGTGTCGAATTCAATTCAATTAAGTGCGGCAGAAATGCGACTGTGGATTCATACGTCGCACTTGTGTCGCACTTAATTCAGAATTTATACTAGGGACCTTTAGCAATGACGACGAGAACGTGAACGTCACCGACCGGAAGTTGGGAAAACGAACTTCGAAGCTACCACGCATGTCCAATCGAGCACTACTCGTCGTCCACAACTCGTTCAGGACGCCATTTGCCGCCATCTGCCGTCTTGTCGAGAACGCGGGTATGTTTTATTTGTTTTCTAATTTCTACTTACGTATCTTAGGAATTTCTTCAATGTAAAGGGTCGTTTA